CCTAGGTGGGTTTCTGTAGTGGAGACTAAACGTTAACAATGATTCCATATTCAGCAGGTTTGAATCCAACTAAGTCTCCCTGCACCAAACTCCCTTTAAGAAATATCACTTTAACAATTCATAACGTGTTCGTAACAACACGTAACTCTAGAAACACGAGCTAAGGCCTTCATATGTCCACAGTCTGACTGTTCATTACAGGATCAATATCATCCATAAAGAATACAGTGTATACTGATCAATATCATCCATAAAAACTGATAAAGGCTGATCAGGTTGATTGATGCTTTAATAATGAGAGTATTGATGACTAAGGCTGTACTAAGAAATAAAGGAAACAGGATTTAGCAGAATGGTCCTTTAAAGTCTTCCAGTGAACTCAGAGCTGGCGGCGTCCCAGCAGGTTTGTCATTCGTCCAATGAGCAGCTGAGGTTTGGACGGCGCAGGTCACATGACTGAGGGTCACGTTGTTTCTTCCTGTGGAGGAGCTGCTTCACCCGCAGGACCACAAGAACCGACTAATTATCCCCGAATTACCCCGAGTCGACTCACATCGCCACGACAACAGCCTGTGTGTGTGATGGTGGTGTAGTGGGGCATCACTCGCACACAACCCTGCATCCGCCTTGTTAGCTCCTGTGTGTGTGTGTGTTGATGATGATGATGATGATGTGTGTGTCACGCTGCCCTCCAGCCTGGTCCAGCTGGAAGGTCATCAGTTCATTTAGTGAACGTTGGGGCAGTTTTTCTTCTTCTTCCTCTGCTCAGTTCACAGTGAGGCTGAGTTGCAACCAGCTGGCTAACGTTAGCTCGCCTGCTCGCTAACAAATTACAATATATATATCTGAGTAAATGTTCCTTGATTTCAGCCAACAATAAATGATTCCCATGTCTTATTTAAATCTTCTATATGTTGTCATGTATTGTATTATAATATAGCAGTAATGTTAGCTGTTACTTTTGGACTCTGTGGTGGGTGTCGGTTGTTAGTAGACTTTAGCGGACTCCAGATAGTATGTCGTCAGCGATAACGTTAGCCAGCCAGCAGCATCCCATCCACGCTGAATAATATTTCCAGGCCGCCCCACAACACGAGCAGTTAATGTCATCATCCAGGCTGATCTGGCTTAATTGTCGTTTGCAGGTTATAAAATCAAGTTTATCTTCAGTTTTAGTGGATTATAGATTAATTTATGAGGTACATTTATATCTCCTCAATTTAATAAATCCAATCATATAATCATGTTATTTTCGGCACTTTATTGTTCTGGACCATTCATACGAAATATTATTGTCTTGTTTCAGCCACTGTCACTGTGACTGTATTGTGTAGTTACATACAAGCATCACAAGATGGCAGTAGCTACAGTTGTCATTCATTATTATGTAGTTTTTATTTGTGCAGTAGTTTTTGTTTTCAGGCGTTTCTTTTTATTTTGTTTCAGTTTCGCTTTCATAAAAAATAATCCATCAAAATAATTTTTTTCATCACTTTCCTAGTAGGCTATATGATTCACAAAAGATTAAAAAAACAAAAAGGATTCTGGGACTTTGGAGGCTGCATATTTTCCAAATCCTTCTTAATTTATATAAAAATAAACTAATCAAACATAATCAATGTTCAGGAGGCTTTGCTTTATATTTCATATTGTTTTAGATATGTATAAATCAGAAGATTAGAGGACCCAGTGTTGAGCCTTGTGGTACACCAAATTTCATCATTTATTTTAACACACTGCTGTCGACATGAAAAGAATAAACTGTATAAAATAAGTTTATTTAAGTTTATTTCTGACCTTACTGATGGTTTTAGAGGGATAATCTCAAACATTGTTTAGGAGGTTTTCTGTCAAAGATTTCTTATCAATTTCTCCTAATTTTTTTCCTGTTGGTGCATTCGTGGACAGTCAGACATCTTAAATCTGATAAATTGACAACGTGACTGTTGGGAATAAAGGACATCCCCTTTAAAGGTTTCTTTGAGGTTTAGATAAAGTTAAAATAAGCCTCATCGTTTCATGGAGGAGACAAAGGGGCAGATTAACTCTGCTACCACGGTAACCGAGGATGTCACGTGTGTTAATGCTCATTTCCATGACAACGTTATCAGAAGGTCCGCGGGGGCCATCTTAACTCAGAGAGCAGGAAGTCTGATCCTCTGTCAGGATCAGGAGGATTAAACCGAGTCCCTATCTAAATGATGGAGGTTGTGACCTCTGTTAACCTCACTGAGGTCAAAGGTCACACAGACACACAGGTGTGTCCCTGCTCAGTGAGACAAAACATCCAGGCTCTTATTTTGATTGTGCTGTCCATCATTTCTGTCAGTCAGCTATCTAAATGAGTGGTTCCCAACCTGAGGTCGGGACCCCCTGCAGGGTCTAAAGATAAAGCCGAGAAGTCAAAACAAGATTAAAAGGTAAAAATATAATTTAAACAAAATGTATTATTATTATTATTATTATTATTATTATATATAAAATACTGAATACATTTATATATTCAACACTCTCAAATCCTTCAAATAAAAATGGAAAGAAGTTGTGTGTTTGTCCAGTGATAATAAAGTTGTGTTTGTACAGTAATCAGTGAACTCTGTGTGGATAACAGTTGAAGATTGATTGATGGGTGAATGTGATGATATTATTGGTTGAAATCAGTTAGTTCATCATTTTATATAAAAATACAAATAAACTGATTTGGAATTGGAATATTTCTTTTACAAAATGTATAAAACCGTAACATAAACATAAAGATTGTAACGTTAGCACACTGATTGGCTGACGAATGTAAACATACCGAGGTTTGGGAGGTCAGAGGTTTGACAGACGACTTCAGCAAGAGACGATGGGTCCAGATCCAACTGAGGCGTCAACAGCTGAACACAAACAGGAATGAAACAGAAAGTTCACAGAATCAAACCAACTTTCTCAAAATTAAAGTCTAAACGATGAAATGTTCCAAAAGGTTGAGTTTATTTTGAATAAATTAACTCTCTTACTTGCTGTCTAAACCCCAGAAAGCTCCTGTTAATGTCATATCTGTTAGCATGTGTCAGTCTTCTAGCATGATATCTTGACTTGCTAGCTTTAGATTTAGTCTGATCATGACCCTAGAGGACGGACAAGTTTGGGAAGTTACGGAACCAACCACATTTTGTAAAGCCCTGCTAACATCACCCGTACAGATGAAACTCACCTGCATCCGACAGTCACAGTGCCAGGGGTTGTGTGTGAGGTTGGCGTGAGCACGCAGGCCACCGAGTGCCGCCGGGTCCAACATAGACAGCCGATTGGACGAGAGGTCTAGGAAACGAAGCGAGGACGCCAAACCACAGAAACAACCAGCTTCCAGTGAGGAGAGCTGGTTGTGCGACAGGTCGAGCTCATCGAGCAGGAACAGATCCGAGAAAGAGTCGGCTGGCAGAGAGCGGAGCAGGTTTTTATCCAGAAACAGACGGATGGTGAGGTTAGAGAGGTCGACAGGTACCTGCGGAAACAAACACCTAAGCAGGTTAAACAACAAAACTACAGAGATAAGTAGTTATTGTTTAGTCTAGCTTAGCACAAATACTGGATTCCGAGGGAAACTGCTAGCCTAACTCAAAAAGTTAGGAAGGTTTAGTCATTTTCAGCCACACTGATCACAAACAACCTGGGGGACAAGCTATGCTAACTTTGGTAAGCAAGCTAATGTGAATCTTAATGCTCCTATCATGTATACATTTTATTTTGGAGGTTCCAGATTGTTTCAATTCATTATACTCAGTCTCATTACCACAGATTGATTGCTAATGAGCCAACATTTGTTAGCTAGAGAGCTAATGTTATCTCACAAACAACTGAATAATATATTAAAGAAACAATTGACAATCACATGTCTCACTATATCAGTAATGTTCCTGCTGCTACCTCACAAAGCTTCCGTTAGCTTTGTATCGTTAGCATCATTATTTGTTGGCAAACCGTTTGCCAGAATACATAAATTAGTATCATCACATTAGCTGGGGAAGCTAACATCAGCCAACAAACATATCCACTCAGATAGGAGTTGCTTACATTATCATAACATTAAGGTGGTACTGTTGGGTCTCTGTAAATGTTAAAAGGAGTTCGGTCTAGACCTGCTCTATTTGAAAAGTGTCCTGAGATAACTTCTGTTATGAATTGGCGCTATACAAATAAAATTGAATTGAAAATTGAAGGAATTGAATTGGAACACATTATCCCGGTGCCAGATGCCCCAACACACAAGTGGTTACGTTAGAGCGATTGTTGTGGTCGTTTAAACTCCCTGATTTTATCCAGACTTCTTTTAAAAGAGCTAGACTAGCAGTTTCCGCCCTGCTTCAAGTTGGTTGTATAGCTAGCCTAACCAAAACATGTCTTTACCCAGGCTTTCGGCGAAAGATGAGACTGCGTCCTTTAAAGTAAAGACAAAATGTAACCCAGAAGGTAACCGCCATAAAACTTTGTCCTCAGATGGGAGGAGAGTCGCCCACAACACCGGCAGTGCTACGATGTCCCCCACAACGTAATGAAGACCAGACACACACGACCACCTGAGTCAGTCTCAGCCTCCCACAGCGGACCGTCACTCCTCCGTCTGGCATCTGCCGAACGCTGGCAGATTTGGCGGAGACTCTGTTCCATGCCGCCGTAGGGCCACGGTAACGATGACTGTCATCCACCAGGTTGGCCCTGTGGAGGATCAGAAGAAGAAGAAGAAGAAGAGCCATCCTCCTCT